ATAATAAGGATATATTTATGAGAAAAGAATCTATTTTCAATTAAAAACAGAATGGCATGCCTAATAAAGTAGCTTGTGAATGAATAATAAATAAATAAATAAATAAATAAATAAATAAATAAATGGGCTTGCTTTCTTTCCTAAAGAAATAGAAACAAGTATTATAAATACCTGAGACTACAGAAAGCAGAAGTATCCTGGGATATATGGCAGTTCATATGCTAAGTGAAATAGTATGTAACCTAAGAGGGCACTACAAATAAGCCAAGGGAAAATATGAATGAATACTCCAAACACAGGGAAAGGAAAAGTATACCTTAAATAAGGCAAGGAGGGCACAATAAAACATAAAGACTAAAATTTAAATTTAAAAACATTTGTATGGAAAAATATACTGTTAGGCAAGTTCAAAACATAACACAAATAGTACTTATCACTTATACATATGGCCCAAAATGGATTAGAATCCACATTTTTTATTTATTTCTGTGATAGAGATTGAACTCCCTTCACTGAATTGATACTATGAACAGAAAAGCACAGTCTTGATGCAGTGATTCCATATACAGTGATGTGAGGAGCTCTCTGTAAAGCTAAGTTCCTCTCCAAAGCATCTTTTATAGAAAAAATGTATGGAAATACTGCAGAATGAGAGGGGAGAAAATAAGCTACAAGACAGGCATACACAGGTTGCAAGAAAATAATGGAAATGAACCAGCCACGACTAAATTATTTTCTTTGTTCCCTTTGGTGAGTCAGTTTCTTTGAGATTCTTGTTGGCTGTTTTGTTTTAATTAGTAACATGTAAACATCATCATTACAAAGGAAAACAGTATGAATAAGAGGGAAGTAACATCAACAACAAAAGCCCAGTATATATGACATTATGTACCAAATAGGCAGAATAGAATGTGATGGTCCCCTTGGTGTGAGAGAGTATTAGTGGCAATCACTGAGAGTGAAAAAGAAAAGAGGGAGTTTGTTTAGGAGCATGAGTTAGGTACTATTAACACATTTCAAAATATAAGGTAGAAATTTGAAGTTTTTTTTTTAAATGAGAGGGGAAGCTACATAGATATGAGGAGTAAACTGTCAAGTAAGGGTTGTCATAGAGAAGGCTCTAGTAGCATGGACTGGCAGACAGTCCTCTTCCAAAAAGCAGACTCAGGGACAATTGATTCCAACAGAAAAAGGTATGAAATAGAAATGGTATTGACATGTTATGAAATATTTCTACACTGTGTGAAGATGTATTTGCTGTGAGTGGTATAATAAAAAGTTGAATGCCCAATAGCTAGGCAAGAAGTATAGGCAGGGTTTCCAGGGAGAGAAAGAAAGAGGGGGGAAGAATCTAGGTACATGGGGGAAGAGAAGCCAGAAGACACAGAGAGAAAACAGGAGGTACAAAATGGAAGAGAGGTAATAGCAAGTGATAGAACATAGATTAATGTAAATGGGTTAATTTAAGTTATAAGAGCTAGTTAGGAACAAGCTTATGCTATAGGCCAAGCTTTCATAATTAATAGTAAGTCTCTGTGTCATTATCTGTGAGCTGGTGGCACAAAGAAAAAATCTATTACCTATGGCATCCAACGTGGAGGCTCAAATATCCAAACATAGGGCCTGAGAAAGCAAAGAAAAGTTCTGGTAAAGGAGCCAAACATGCATGACTTCCTAATCCTGCAGTCTCTCATGTGGGCTGTTGCTCAGAATACAGAGGCACTTACTGGCCACTGCATGAGGGCTACAGCCAGAAGCCAGTGCCATGTGCCAGTACCATGTGCTAAGCTGAGCTATGTGGTGGCTGACATGGCAGTTTAAGGTTTGGCTCCCATGTCAGAGGACACTGAAAGTGCATGGCTGCAGGAACTTAACAAAGGCAGGTTCAGATCAAGAAAACTTCTGAACAGATATAGTATTTTAAAATGTGCTTAGCTGCCAAAGAAAGAAAAGAAAATGGGTATAGATGGTCATAGAAAAGTAGTTTAAAATAATAAAGTTATTGAAGAAATAATAAAGTAATGGAAAAACAATAAACCACATAAAGATGGGAAATACACAGGGTCTCTGGATCCTGTATGGTGCTTTGTTGACTTTGAATTTTTTAAATTCTATTGACACAAAAACAATAGCTTCTGAGAAATATTGGATTTTGGAAACTGCTAAATTAAGCCAACCTATATATTTTAAGAATGCCTTAACTTCAAAATGGAAGTCAGAAAATATATTGCATTGGGGGGAAGAGGTTATGCCTGTGTTTCCATGGGAAACAAAACATCATGTTTCTCTTCAAAATTACAAAAGACTGAATTTGGTTGGCGGGGGAACCTCCTGAAAATCTTGGCTACAGACATAAAAAGAAAAAAAGAAACCAAGAAAGAATAAGATAAGGTGATGTATATGCTGATCCTTCTACTATGGGAACAGCTCTGAGACTGGATGAAACATGATAAATCTTGTTGTCTACAGAGCCCTCATGACTTATTATTACATGCCATCCTTTCAAATGGCATGGATATATGTTTGGTTATACAGTCCAAACAGACATATAAAGTTAACAGATGCCTTTTACCTGCTCAAATATAAATCAAAAAAATCATCTTTAAACTCATTTGTTCAAACTGCACATTCCATACTTTTGTTAATATAGCCATGTATTTTACCTTTAAAAATTTTTGTGTTTTCATAAAACAAGGACAAGACACTAATAAAGACAAGTAGCCCAAGTGATCCAACCTCTCAAAATTCCTCTGTTTCAGTTTCCCCAAAATCTGCATCCATAATAACTTCAAAGCTGCTAGCTGAAATAGTCCAGCCTCACAGACTATCCAGACAAGACATCAAATAAGTTCTACTCTTTCCCATCACACAGAGACTAGACAAAAAATGATACAGCTAATTTTCCCAGGACTTGAACATTATCTCAATTTTCTCAATGTCCCCTAAAGAGGTCATCACTTCCAGACAACAGGAAACAGTCTAGAGAACACAATGCCCACATTACTGAGAAATGAGATGGATGGTTTTTGGTCATTCAATGGATTATGGGTGTTTAACATCATTTGGGGGCCTTGGTTGCATATTGTTACTGATCATGGTAAGGGAGGAAACTAAGCAAGGAACATTAGATTCAAGGATTTATTTCTGAAAAGAAAAAAGGGGAATATAGGGATAGTAGGATAACAGGATAGATTACTGAATTGACTTTAAGCTAAAAAGCAACTATTAACCTCTAATATTTTACACCAGTATGGAAATATGTGTATTGATACAAACTTAAGGTTATTTTTGTGAGAAAATACTCTATATATGCTTCCACTCTTTTTGAAGATATTTTGTATATTCATACAAATTTAAGGTTATTTTTGTTATACTGTTCATATGATTCTATTCTTATTTAAAGTATTGTACCTATGTAGCACATTTAACAATGATATGTAAATTTCCAGTCCTTGAAAATTTTTATTACAAAATTTCTTTTTGGTTTTTCAAGACAGGGTTTCTCTGTGTAGCTTTGGAGTCCATCCTGGCACTCGCTCTGGAGACCAGGCTGGCCTCGAACTCACAGAGATCCGCTTGCCTCTGCCTCCTGAGTGCTGGGATAAAAGGTGTGCTCCACCAACACCCGGCCAAAATATTTAGGATAATTAAGAAATACAGGTTTGTAATTAGTCATCTAACAATCAAATTTGTGGTCATGTTAAGTACGTTTTCAAGATCAAAAAGATATGTATTTTGGATAGACAGATCATCTTCAAACACTTCAGAAACCTACAAAATATGGCATTTAAGATGTTCTAATAACCTAAGACTTTTCATGACAGTGAGGCACATCTGCTCCTGACAGAACCTATTTACTTCCAAAAGGGATAAAGGGCATTGAAGAACCTCCATATGGTGTTTGTTTTCATTGTGGCAAAGTTAGCCATTTAGCAAGAAACTGCACTTGCCTCAACTGCTGACAGAATGTTGCACAAATTGGATAAGTAGGACACAAAAAGAGAGAGACTACTGAACTTTGCTAAGACAAGATAGGACAATCCTTCAAAATTCTTCACAAAAGAGTCTGCCAGATATTCTAGGCCTGTAGGCTGAAGATGGATGCCCCAACGTTGCAGAAGAACCTTGAGTAATTATCCAGGCAGTCAGGTATTTCTGTCATTTCTTTGTTTTTTAAGTTGCTTGCTCTGCACTTCCTGTTTCCTAGGGTAATACTGTATCCTTCTTGGTTTTCTGATGGGGAATGAAGACTAGATAGTATACAGTTTTCCTTGTTATGAAATTCAAGGGAAAAAACTTACATAAGAGTTATAAAGTTTATAAAGTTGAGAAACAAAGGATTAAGTTGTTTGTCTAAGATGTTACAGGTCTAAAAAGATATTTTTATGATAATAAAACAAATCATGTTATAAAATGTTTTAGGTATAACTTTGAACTCACTAAGATAGGATAGATAGTACAGTACTTTCTCCAAATTTAGCAAATGCATATGGACTAAACATTGCGAATATAATTTTTACTTGACAATTGTTCTTATTGTATATGGTTTTACTATGTTAGAGTTAAAAACCTTTCCTTTTTATTTAGACAAAAAGAGGGAAATGTTGAGGGATATTTGTACACAGTGTAAAGATGTATTTGTTGTGATTGGTCTAATAAAAAGCTGAACAGCCAATAGCTGGGCAGGAGGTTTAGTCAGAATTTCCAGGGAGAGAAAGGAAGAGAAGAAATAATCTAGACACTCTGGAGAAGCCAGGAGACTTGGAAAGGAAACAGGAGGTACAAGATGGAAGAGAGGTAACACCATATGATAGAATGTAAATTAATATAAATGGGTTAATTTAAGTTATAAGAGTTAGTTAGGAACAAGCCTAAGCTATAGGCAAGCTTTAATAATTAATAAGAACTTTTATTTGAAGCTGGTTTGTTGGGCAGAGAAAGACTCATTATATTAATGTAATCTTCAAAGTTATGGAAACTATGAAATAAAAAGAAGAGTTTAAAAACAGTCATCAGATGCCACAATACATGGCACTGCCTTAACCACAGGCCCTGTTGTTAGGCCCAAAGGTCTTATCTGTTTTTGTCAAGGGCAGTTCTATCTTTCTCTCCCTGCATACATCACAAGATTTATATTTTTAAAACAATGAATTGCCTTTATAAATAAAGAAAATAATTTGGAAGATGAAGCCCATCTTTTTCCAGACCCATGCCATTGGAAGAATTTGACAAAGATTTTTTCCTACTTCCAGTCTTTTAATGTTGACAGTGAAGCTGATTATAAAAACACACAAGCACAAATGATAATATTAAATCCAGCATCCCAAGAGTGATGAATAGTAAAAGAACAAGTGCTTTCAAAAGAAGACCATAGGCAAAATGATGCTCTGTCAACCAGAGACTGGCATCCTTTCACTGCAAAATCAAGATCCTGAAGACAGTGAAATTTGTAGATGTGCTTTATTTTCTATTTATTATTTACTAATAATTTGCATAGGTTGTCTTTATAGGCAACTTTTATGCACCCAATGTAAATTAAATATTTCCTACATCTGTGTAATTATAAGATCATGACAATGCTTTGCACAACGCCCTGATTTTCATGTAGTAGTAAATATCAGTTATTCATTCTTTTGAGATCTTATGTGTTTTGACTGAATTTTCAACTATACTTTTGAAACATATATTAGTGTATGAAGAGAAAGAAAAGAGCCCTAGAGAAGGCACAGAAAATAGAGGCCCACTCATTTGCACACTCAAGAATTCCATAAAAACACTAAACTGGAAGACATAATATATACACAAAGGACTTATGAGGTAAAAAGAGAGAGGAGATAGATAGATAGATAGATAGATAGATAGATAGATAGATAGATAGATAGATAGATAGATGGAAGAGTCCTGACACTACATTATGAGACAAGGAACTTCTTAAGATGCCATTGAGTTCATTTTGTGTTGGCCATCTACTGCTGGGCATATAGCCTGTCCTTAACAGTAGTTTGTTTTTCCAGTGAGACTCCCTTGGAGAAAACTTAACTTTCTTTTGTAAGTGGTTATCAATTGATTGATTCTGGGATAAGGGTGAGAAAAGCTGTCTACTTCTCCTCTCAGCTCTAGAATTCTAACTGGTGCAGGCCCATGCATGTCCTGTGCATGCTACCTCAGTCTTGTCAGTTCATAGGTGGATTCAATCCTGTTGATTTAGAGGACTTTGTTTTGTTGGTGCCCTCCATCCTCCCTGGCTCTTATACTCGTTCTCCTTCCTATTCCATGGGGTTCCCTTAAACCTGAGAGGAGGAATTTCATGGAGACATCACTTTCAGGAAGTGTGTTTCAAGGTCTCTCACCCTCTCGTCATTTGCATAATACATGGCTTTGTTTGTATTTGTTCCCATTTCCTTCGTTAGGTTTGGGAAATTTTCTTCTATGAATTTGATGAAAATGTTTTCTGTACCTTCACCAGGGTTTCTTCTCCCTCCTCTATTCCTATTATTCTAGATTTGGTCTTTTCACCATGTCTCAGATTGTCTAAGGGGTTGAGGACAGGTTTGACAGGATTTTAAGCTTTCACATGTTCTTTGACTTAGATACTCATTTATTCTATTGTGTCTTCAGTGCCTGAGATTCTTTTGTCCAACTCTTATATTCTGTTGGTGAAGCTTGTCTCTGAGGTTCCTGTTCAAGTTCTTAAATTTTTCACTTCCAGATTTCCCTTGGTTTGGGATTTCTCTATTGATTCTATTTCTGCTTTCCAGTTATGAACTGTTTTATTCGTTTCCTTCCACTGTTGGCCTGTGCTCTCATTGATTTCTCTAAGGGTTTTTCTTTTATTCCTCCTTTAAGAACCTCTATCCTATTCATAGAGACTGCTTTAATCATTGTTGTCTAGTGCTTCCGCTATGCTGCAACATTCTGGGCCTACTGTGGCAGGGTTACTGGGCTCTCATACAGACACATTGTCCTGACTGTCATTGTGTTTTTATGCTTGCATCTAGGCATCTTGGTTTGGAAAGATTGTAACTCTAGGTACTGACATATGATCTTGCCTTTTGGGGGATGGGTGTTTTGGTCTTTGCTTTCTGTTGCCCTCTCTGTTATTCCCTGCAATGGGATAGAGTGGTAGCTGTGTGTTGCCTGGTATGAAATCCTTTATGCTCCTGATAAATGTGTTCACTGGGGGTTCCTGGTAAAATGTGTTCCCAGGTATTGGTATCTGAATATTAAGAATGGAGATGGGACTAGCACAGGAAGAGGGTACTAAGGGGTCCACAGGAGGGAGGAAAGCATGTTGCTCTATTATGATTTGCTTAGTGCTCTGGGAATTAGGGCAGAGCGTGGGAAGAACTAACAGATGGTCTGCTACAGAGCTGGGATGAGAATTGGAGGTTGGTTATGGGGAAGAGGAGGGAGAGTGAAGATATGAACCTCGCCTACCTGCTTCCTTGGCCTGGACCATGTGATCAATTCCATATCCAATCTGAGCTTGTTGCTCAAATTATCTCAAATCATTTTATTCTTCCAATACAGTACTGCTCAAACTGAGAGCCAGTTTTTCTCCATTGCAACAAGTGTCTATTTCAGGAGCTCAAGTGGGCAAGCATTCTGGGAGCTCCTCTGTCCATTCTACGGGACATCTGGGCACTCTTTTTCTTTATCACAATTAAAAAGAAAATGTGAGGCCAGAAGTCATTTCTGTTCTGTTGACTGCTAAGCACAGTTCTACCCAGGAAGTCAACATGATCTCCTCCTGTGATCCAGGCATCCCAACTGTGGCAAGACAACTAATGAAAACTCAGCAGTAGGGTGCACACCAGGATGCAGCTAAGCATGGCAAATGCTGCCAAGGAAGAGGTGCAAAAGACTGAAGCTCAGTACTGAGTGAAGACCTGGCCAAAGGAAGCCTGTGTCCTACAGCACCGTCAATCTATCTTGAAGAGCTAATGTGACATGTTTCTGAGAGGAAGTCTTAAGGCAAAGAGTTCAGATTTCCCATAAACTCTTTGCACACTTTCACAAGTCACAGAAGGGCATCTGAACTTAGGTCCTAGAATCTTTGTAAATATCTTAGGCAGTATGCTGAAACATCTAACAAGGGAGAGGATAATACGGCCCTCTTGTTTGAACTCAGCCTGCCAGTTCTTGTGCTAATATTTGAATCTTCAACACAATATTGACAATAAACACAACACAACAAATCATCAAAATTGGTGAGATTCAAGTAAAATTAGGTTTGAAAGTCCAGCTAGTAGGTATCTGGAATACTGGAGCACTGAGCAATGAATGTGCACTTGTTATTCATGAAAAATGTCAGGATGCAGATGAGTGCATAAAGCTGAAAGGTGTCCAAACTAGTGACAAGGAAAGAAAAAAGCCACATTAAATGATTAAAAAAAAACACCCATAAATACTATGTAACATTTCTCCTGCCTTCCAGAGAAGTAGTTTAACAGGTACCAAATCTATCTTCCTATGTAAACCCTAAGGACATCTAACTCCTTTAAGATAGCTACAAATGGCATGACATTCAAACTTATTTTATCAATACAATCATTAAATAAGTTCTTGCTATAGTTAAATATTGAGCTTCTCACAATTTTTCTGCTACATACTCTGATAAGAAAGCAGCAAGTTAATATATAAACACCAATATATATTAATAAGCACAAGAAATAAAGGAGTTAGTTTCTCTAATTCCCTTAGAGCATTTTAAATTCTTTATCTCTCCCTAAAGCAATGCCCAACATAATACACACAATTTCTTAACAAATGTTTAGTGACATGATTAATGCTCTTTTTAATAAAGTGGCAAGAAAGTTGTTTTTCATTTTTAATTCTTGCTTTTATTGATAATACTTTTAATTCTTAATATTGTTGATAGTAGTAATAATGCAACCCATAAATATTATAATTCACCTGTTCTCTATGAAATAATCCATTACCAAACACATAAACACAAAACAAATCCAAGACAAAACAAAAGTACCCTGAAAGCTAAATCATTCTAAATACCTACAGTTAAAATCACACACACACACACACACACACACACACTGTGCAAAAGTTGGTTTATGCCTCCATCTAGTGGCTACAGAATATAGCACACAGCTGCACAAAAGTGCTTACCCAGGGAGGTAACTACAGAGATGCACATCCAGGAGACAAGCATCTAACATGTAACTGTCCTCCTACCTGCAAAGGTTGCACCGGAGAAACCGTGCTTGGTTCCTTCTGCACAGTTTCACAAGTTTGACACAATCAAGTAGTAATAACATTAAATCGATTTTCTCTTAGCCTGCCACAATTTTTATCACCCTGTAACTATTTGTTATATGAGGCGTTTACATCAGACCACAAAGAAGATAATAAAGAGAAGTCTGAAAGCCCTCATATGCTGCTATAAAGAGTATAAATTTATAAGGCATTTTGGTTCTATTTAGTAAAGATATGCATATAACTTATGAGCCATCAACTCCACTCCGGCATAAGAGCTCTTGAGCAGTGGTTTGTGACCTCCAGGGCACATCCCAAAGAAACATACTGATGCCAACCAAAGGGTCTGGTGATTTGGATGGCTCAAAAGTCTATCTTAATTGTAGCCAGTTGTTAGCTAAAATTAAGCATTTCCTTTTGTGATAAAGTTATCTATGGTAGTTTGAATATAATTGGCTCCCATAACCTTATAGGGAGTGGCACTATTAGGAGATGTGGCTTTGTTGAACTGGGTATGGCCTTGTTGGAGCAAGTGTGTCACTGTAGGGGTGGGCTTTGAGGTTCCCTATGCTCAAGATACTGCCTAGTGTCTTAGTCAATGTCCTGCTGCTTTCTCGTCATGATGTAGCCAGTACCATGTCTGCCTAGATGTCACTATGCTCTCCATCATAATGATAATGAACTGAACCTCAAACTGTGAGTCACCCTAATTAAATGTTTTCTTATAAGAGTTGCCATGACGGGGCAGTGATGGCTCATGCCTTTTATCCCAGCACTTGGAAGGTAAAGGCAGGCAGATCTCTATGAGTTCAAGGCCAGTCTGGTCTACAGAGTGAGTTCCAGAAGGGCTGTCACACAAAGAAACCCTGCCTCAAAAAAAAAAAAAAAGTTGCCATGGTCATGGTGTCTCTTCACAACAATAAAAATCCTAACTAAGGCAGGAGGCAATAAACAGTATTGTAGTGGCATATTGTATATGATTTATTAAAACTTGACTGAGAAAGCAAAGTCAGCCACAAGCCATAGAGATCAGGGAGTGGAGGTACACACATTTAATCCCACCACTTGGGAGATGTAGGTAGACAGATCCTGTTAGTTCAAAGCCAGAGTGAACTACTCGAAATTGATCCAGTTCTAATGAGAAAGAGCTCACACAATGATGATCTCAGCTCCTGGGATCACATGCCTTTAATCCCAGCCCTAGAAAGACAGGAGCCCCTATCTCAGACTGCATTCTGAAATTGTCTCTGGATTTTCCCCAGCCACGAAGAGGAGAGGCAGCAGTCTGAGGCTTGGTAAAGAGCTCATGGTTCAGCCCTTTCATGAAGCCTGAGGTAGAGTAAGAGCTAGTGGCTTAGCTGCTTTGCTTTTCTGATCTTCAGCTTGAAGCCTGAACCAAAATATCAGTCTCTGGGTCTTTTATTTATCATGTTACACAGTATCAGGACTTACAGAATTCTAGACAATAGATTATAAATGTTATGTTCTAATTATATTTGTTACAAATTATTATAATTCCCCTTATCCTTGTCATTAAAATTCTCTTGCATCCACCATTAAAATTTGCTATTCTGTGTCTAATGTCTATTTCTTTTTGAAATATTACTTTTATATTTCCATCATTTAAGTTCAGTTCTTTATTTAAATTCAATTCTTTATCACTTGTTTCCCTTGCAACTCTGTGAATGTTAAACATTTAGAAACATCAGAGATCAGTGTGCTCATAAGATTTATCAAGGGTTCTTGTTATACTAAGAATGACTAGAAATGCCCTACAGAAAGGCCCTGGTGGAGCTGTTACCAATCAGCTGACAGAGGTCATCTCTTGCTCTGCCAGATAGAATCATGGATAGGCAAGGAAAGTGAGCTGCTTTTATTTCTGCCTGTCTGGCAGCCGCCAATGGCAGCAGCTGGTGGGAGTGATGGCAAACCATACCTTCTCTGTGACAGTTCTTATGTAGGCTTCCAGAATAAGGACACTGGGCCCTGCAAGTGCTTCAGCTTGGGTAGACCTAGAAAGTCCAATTCCTAAGAACTTGCCTATGGTTATATTGCCTAGAGATTTGGGTCAGGAATAAAGAGAAACATATCAATTAATGCAAGAAAAAGAATCTTCTACTAAGATTAAGCCAACTGGCAGTTGCTGTGGAAAAATCTTTCTGTACACTGTGAATATGTATTAGTCTCATTGGTTAATAAAGAAGCTGATTGGCCTAGAGCAAGGCAGGATAAAGTTAGTGGTGGGGGGTGACAATCAAACTGAGGATACTGGGGTGAAGAGGGGCAGAGTCAGAGAGTCACCAACAGACACAGAGAGAGCAAGATAGACATGCCATAGTGAGAAAAGGTGCCAAGTCATGTGGCAAAGCATAAATAATATGGGTTAATTTAAGTGTAAGAGTTAGCTAGTAACAAGCCTGAGCTATCAGCTGAGCATTTGTAATTAATATTGAGTCTCCATGTTAGTTATTTGGGAATCGGTTGTGGCACAGGGAAACTATCCCCTACAGGTGGTGGCTGAAATTAGATGATTTCTCGTGTAAAAGAAGCCCCTGTGAGAGGGTAAGGCAGGATAGTATAGTTTGCCCCAGGCTCAGAAACCTGGGCCACTTCACTTTCATTCCACCATGGTCAAACCATGCCTGCTAACCCAACAATGTACTCAAGCCACTCTAGCCACATTCCATCCAGCAGGCATAGGGAGGAAATAAAGAGGACAAGCTTGCTTCCCCTCCTCCTTTAGATCATTTACATTACTTACTGACATTCCCTAGGGAAGAAAACTGTCCCATGACCACAACAAGCTAAGTTTACTAGTACTGATCGTTTTTTCAATACCAAATAAATAAATGGATACACACACACACACACACACACACACACACACACACACACACACACTTCAATATCTTCCTCCACCACTTTTAATTTTTTGTGTTATACTGTATTGTGTTCATTCATGCTGTTTACTAATTCTCTCACGAACAGCACACACTGGATCCAGGACCCAATGAAAAAGATATCAAAATCCATATAAGCTCAAGTCCCTTCTACAGCATTTGCATATAACATACACTCAACTGCCTGTGTCTTTAAATCATCTCAAACTTGTTATACTCTATTGTATGGTCAATGCAAGAGAAAACGTCTGTACATATCCAGAACAGATCATTTCCCCCCAATATTCTCCTTTCTCTGGTTAAATCCACAGATGCTTGCCTCAGCTACATGAAACTGACACTATTTTCTCTTTGGACATGGATTATACAAATTGTAGACTCCAATGGGAAAAGCACTACCTTCTTTTTTCCATTTCTATAGTTTCTAGGAAACTGCCTGCAGCATAAAAGAAATTTGATAAGCATTAATTGAATAAGTAAATGAACTGTTAACTCAGGGCTGAAAAAAACAATCTGACAGATTTTAATCAAGTAGATGCTGTCTTTACACAAATGATACTTCCCTTAAATTTGCTGGTTTAGGAAATAATGTCTTCAGAAAAAAAGGCTAAATTCTTGCAGAATTATTAATTTTTTAAAAACCTTCCTCATCTAAGCAAAACCCCTTCCACAAGGCACCCCAATAAAACCATACCTGATAAGCCTATAATGCTTTCCAGTCTCTAACGATATAAGGAATGTTACTTACATGTACACAATAACTATTATGAAGAAGACTCATAATTATAATGTAAATTAATATGTTGATCATTTTAAACGCTGGAGACATCAGAAGGCAAGGGTTATAAAGTGATCTAAATTCTCATCTTTCTACTAAATGAACATTATCTGTAAATTGAAAACTACAAAACACCAGAGTATACATAACAGAGACATAACCATAGGGGAAAAAAAACAGCTATAACATGTTAGATGAAGTTAATCTGGACACCAACGATCGAACAAGGCACATGTAAGAGGTCAGCTCTTTTAAGTAGCATAGAGCAATTTGCTTTTGATCCCTCTGCATATGAACTGTGAGGGTCTCACTTCAGGCCTGTGACCCCACCCCATTGTTCTGGACACCAGGAAAATTAACCCATCTTTATTCGTAGCCTCCCAGGCCATGCCAGGAGTCAACAGGGATGCTGAGTATTCTGAGATAAAGGTGAAGGCCCCAGGTCCCAGGTACATCCATATCAAGCCCTACATTTTGGAGTGTTAGTATCCTAGGGGTCTTAAAGTGGTGGCCCAGGGTGTAGAATTGCACTGAGCTCAGGGTTCTGCTGATTGCAACATCACCTCTGACGTCAGGGCCCGAATTTTCTAGAACAAAAGCCAAACAAAGGGTAGGTGCTGAACCAGGATCACAAAGTCTGGGCCTCTGCCCACTCACAGAGGGGCAGAGCCGCGCCGCCAAGCCCTGCCCAGCCAGCAAAATCGAGAGGGTGCACCAAGCAGGCTACGAGCGCTAGTCCCTGCACCTGGCTGCCCTTCCTGCTCCAGGCCTAGCCATGCTGGCACTTCGAAGCTGCCTGAAGAAGGCGCTGGCCCCACGGGCACTGGCGACTCAGGTAGGGGACGCAGCCTGCAGGGATGTGGGCGGAGCTGTGTGTGGAGCAGGAACTCTTGGTGAGGTTTGGCGCTACTCGGGTTACCTGGCACCTGCGAGTCGTGGCCCAACAGCGCCCAGCAATTAGGGTGTGACTGGAGCCTCGGGAGACTCCACTAAGATGCGATGAGATGTGGACCTAAGGGAGCCACCATGCATCCCTAGCTACTGAGCATCAGCTTATCCTGGGAATGAATCCAGTTCTTTCCGGTTCGGACTTTGACTTAACCCAGACAGAGAGAGTCATGTTAAGGCAGTCTAGAACCAGGTAAACCTTGAAGAAGAGACGTGTGTAACTGCTCACCCAGAGATGCACATGCAACGTCACCAATTATTTCCTTACACTTTTTCCCGGAACATAGTTTTTATTTATTTATTTATTTATTTATTTATTGTTTTAGCCAACATTCTCTTTAAACAGTCAGTGCTGGCCAAGAACAAATCTAAGTTGCAGGTAATGAAGCATATGATTTCTCCCAGCGTAATTCTGACTCTGCAACAGAAATCTTGAAAATCGTTTCTAAATAGTCACTCACACACCTCTCTGTAGGCTTCCTCCTTTATCTTATGTCCTGGAAATAATAATAATAAAAGTTTGTGCCTTTGACAATTATTTCATTCTCTAAATGCACACTCACTCGTTGAATCAACCTATAAAGTATTGTGAATGCCATTAACTCGCTTTCTGATGTTTTATTCACTTTAAAACTATAGATAATAAGCAGTTCCAATAATCCCATTTGTAGATTTTAGTTAAAAACATAGAGACACAAAAGTCCATCAAATGCAGAGTCAGCTGCAGATTTTTATAGGAAGTTTACTGATTTCCACAGCAAGAATACATTTCAGAGTAGGTGTGAATGGAATGAACTAAAGGGAGAAAATTATGTTAAGCTAAGTGTTTTTTAAGCAAAAATGTATCAAGAGGAAAACAATTGCTTTTTCTATCCATAATTTTTCCATACTTTTATAGTCATCTGATCTGTTTCAACAGGTTTTTTGTTGTTGTTTTGGTATTATTAGCTTCATGAAATGGGTGCATGATAGCCCAACTTGAAAATAAGATGGGTTTTTACAGCACATCATACAATGTGTGTATACATATATGTGCATATGTACAGACATATACAGGATAATTTCTGACAAAGTATTTCCTAGAGAAAAGTGCTCTCAGAACAAGAAGTAGAAACTTACGTAGTAAATATGATTGTTTTTAAAAAGATATATACCTGAGAGGCATTTTTACCACACTGGTACAACTAAATGCATTAAAGCTCATCTTCGCTTTGTGTTTCTCATTAGAAACCAATAGTGATCCAGGCAATTCTGGCATTTTTGTTGTTTTAGCATTCATGGTCCATTACTGTGGTTGTCAACCAGTGGCTCAACCCCTTTGGGTTCTCATATCAGATATTTATATATTATGATTCATAACAGTAGCAAAATTGCAGTTATGAAGAAGCAAGGGAAATAATTTGATGGTTGGGGTCACCACAACATGACAAACTGTATTAGGGGCTGCAGCATTAGGGAGATTGAGAACAACTGGTGGATTATCCAATTTTTGTAATGCATTTGGAAATTGATAGCACCCTAATGGATTGTCTACACTCCAGTTCTATTTCTACCGAATGTAATTTCTCCTTTTAAAATGTTTTCTTTTAGTAAACATGTTCATTGTGTATGCCCAAAGATATACAATCCTCAGAGCTCTTTCAGATATGTAGCTGTAAGTGACACACACTATAGATTAAAAGCATATGGGGAAAACAAAAGTATCTGAATCCTCCCTGTGGTTCTCTATCCCTGGAGCATCTCTAAGACAGCATTGCCTTAGCTTGGGGTGGCTAAGCCACCATGACAAGGTGGCTTAAGGAGACTCCACATGCTTAACTGTAGTTGTCTTCAAAATCTACTAAAATACATCTATAGAGAGTTGACAAGAAAAAATGGCAACAGGGATTGTGACTCAACTATTGTGTCCCCTGTCACCAGACCCAGATTTGGTTGGAAGGTAAAATTCTGTCCTCCCCCATAATGAGATTTGATTTATCTTTCCTCAGGTGTGCTCATCTTTTACAACTGGCCCCCGACAAACTGAAGGAATATTCTATGAGTTTTGTACTTATTATCTTAAACCCTCAAAGATGAAAGAGTTCCTGCACAATTTTAAGAAACGTGTTCACCTCCGGACAGCTCACTCTGAATTGGTTGGATATTGGAGTGTAGACTTTGGAGGCAGAACAGACAGAGTATTCCATATTTGGAAGTATGGTATGAATTGCCCGGCTCAAATGTTCAGTATAGATTTTTAACCTGGTAGATGCTACAGGAGGATGTGACATATTATTTATGATTTAATAAAGCTTGCCTGAGGGTTCGGGATGCAAAGCCAGCTATAGAAACTAGGGATTAAAAAGTAGAGGGATCTCTTAGTTCAAGGCTACACTAACTACAAAAAATTGATCCAATCCTAAAAGAAACAGCTCACACAAAGGTGATCTCAACACTTAGGATCTCATGCCTTTAATCCCAGCAGTAGGGGGGGGGTATGAAAAGCAAAGGGTCTCATGAAGATTTAGTCTAGCCACACTGAGGAGAGCATGGCAGTCTGAGTGAATCTGAGGAGCAGTGAAATAGGAGCAGTCTGAGGATTGCCCCTTTGGTCTGAGCTGAGGTGGAGGTAAGAGCTAGTGACCAGCTGCTTTGCTTCTCTGATCTTCAGTTTGAATCTTGAACCCTGATATCAGTCTCTGGGTCTTTTATTTTTTGTGTTAGGCAGGATTCTTAAATTGATATACATTAGTATAGTTACAGATTTAGGAGAAATTTTTAAAGCAATGCAGAACCAAAACATAAATTCAATGACCACTCTTCTTGGTCCACCTTTAATAAACTTTTCCCAAAGTCTCACATAGCTGGGAAATTATGAGTTCTCCGATTCTCAAAAAAAAAAAAAAATAGTGATTTATTGGAGAAACTTTTTAAAGCAAAATTTAAACCTGTTTACACAAGTCCAAGAGGTTAAGATCACAGAATGAAATAGGTATCTGATGCTAGACCTGGATGTCACTATCTCAGTGGAAGCAGATTACACATTCAGGATTTTGAGTAAATGGAGGTTGACAGTCAGCTTTTGAATTTCCCTCAACCCTATCAGTTCATCTCTACATCCCAGAGTTTTAATGAATCTGCTGCCATATTATTTTAATAAGTTAAGGGAAATGCATTACTGAGAGTTTTCATACTGCAGCTGCCCACGCCACTACCTTGAAAAGAGAGAACATTACAAAATTACTCAGAATGCTTGCTAACTTTTTAAAGGTCTAATCTTAAAATAGCCTACACCAGGATTTGAGCATGTTCAGCAAAGTTACTAATAAATTGCATTTAGTGTTAGGTCGTCTATGTTCAATTAATGTTCAAAAAAATCTTTAATGAGAAAAGATTCTGTGGGTGGCATGGGTATTCTTCTTTGGTTTGGCTTGGTTTGGTTTTGAAGGACAGCAAACACTGTTAATACAACTTATGCTTCACACAATGGTTCATGTTAAGCATGGCCCATTGGGGAAAGTAATAAAGTTCTAGTTTACCTCACTTTAGGCAGGTGTTATTCCTATCCATAGCATAAACTACAGAAATATTGTACCGTAGTCTAAGGAGGCCTTTACAATAAATATAGTACTTTGCCCATACACTGTTCAGCATGTCGCATGTCATCTGTTTCAGTAACTGAAAGAGCAGAATGTGGGTGCTGGGGAGAAACAATGGGTGACAATTGTATGAGAATCAGCACTATTGCTTTGGAAGTTATTTGTGCAAAGGAAACAATGCCAAGTATATTCAAATCTCACTTGTTAAAATTTATTCAAGAGACATCTTGACTACCTACCATCAATACTGAAGTGAAATTTGTCTTTCAGCTGACACTGTCAGTTGAATGCCTCAATTGAATAGTAAGAGTAGTCCGAGTGTAAGTGTTAAACCCTATTGTAAGCCCTCTTTATCATTTAATCCTCACCACAAACCTGGAGATTGGTGTTATATTATTTACATATTGCAGGCTCAGAAACAAAGCTGAGAGACATGCAGTGACTAACTCCTGTACACAGCTACCTTGAAGAGGCAGGACCTATGAAGCCCATTCAATGAGATCACAATGTTGTTACCATTTCTTTTACCCTGAAGACCAGGAGCAATTTGATGGCAGGCGTGACAGTTTTTCACATACCTGTTCCCAGATCCACAATACAGTGTTCCTGTGTGCTCCAAATGAGTGATTAATGATTTAGGTGTGATACAAAGAAGTACAGATAGTTTTAAACCAAATTTTACCAACTTTTCTTCATTCCTTTCTACCATAGATAATTTTGCTCATCGAACTGCAGTTTACAAAGCCTTGGCCAATAATAAAGAATGGCAAGAACAATTCTTCATTCCAAATTTGACTTCCATTGATAAGCAAGAGACTGAAATTGTCTATTTGGTACCATGGTGCAAAATAGGAAAGCCTCCCAAGAAAGGTGTGTCTCTCTTAGTTTCTGTGAGTTTTCATGACTAAAATGTTACACACATTAGGTTCCTTTTTTGATTGCTTGTTTTTCAAAATAGGGTTTCTCTGTATAGCCTTGGCTGTCCTATAACTCAATCTGTAGCCCAATCTGACCTTGAATTTACAGATTCCACCTGCCTTTGCCTCCAGAGCGCTTTTGCCACCACCACCAGGCCAGATGTTAAGTTCTAATGTATGTTTATTATACTAAATATATTTATAAATTACACACAATTTAAAATCACGATCTATGTTTTTCCTAGAAAATGGATCATTTGGGGGAATAGATTAAATGGAATTCCCAAGCTCTATTAATATGATAAATTTTGTCATCCTCTTTCTTACTTTCAGTTTGAAAATAATTCTTGGTCTTCTTGCTGATTTCACTTCTTGTGTATTTAAAGAGACTATTACCTCAGTCTACTCTTAACCAGAAGTCAGATTAGAAAAGCATAAACTAATTCAAATTTTATTTTTCTTTGTTGTTCTCAACTTTGTAGTATGTTTTAGATGACACTACAGAGAAACCTGAAAAGCCTTATTTGGATCCTGCCCATTTAGGCCTCCTATCAGCTCTTAGCACTATCTAATAAAATAGTTGTCTTCTCCATTAGATCTACTTGCAACCTAGTTCTTTGCCTCTGCTGATTCTATACTTCTATGCAGAAATAAAATGTATTTCAAATTCATAGTTAAAATAGTTAAGAACAACAAAATTAAATCTATAAGTTTGTTTTTTTTCCATAATAGGAAAATATAAATATCACTTCTGTTACATTATTAGATTTCTCTTCCTATTGGATATGAAAACTTACAGTGGCAAAATATACAAAGAAAAAATGGTGGAAGTTGGAGAATAAAAACAGGCATTGAAGAAAATATTTATTTTATTTTGTTGTTAAACAAGGATTTTATACATTAATGGCAAGTGCTCTATCACTGAACCACCTCTCCAAATCCATGAAAAATTATTTTAAGTTCTTTCTAAAAGTATACACTTAGGCCATTCGAAATAACTTACTCTACTAATTTCTCAATATCTACTTTAGCAGCAAGTTTTTACACTAAAATATTTCAGATAATTTACATATAGTTTCTAGTTCTTTTTAACTATTTTAATTTATTCTCTCTCTCTCTCTCTCTCTCTCTCTCTCTCTCTCTCTCTCTCTCTCTCTCTGTGTGTGTGTGTGTGTGTGTGTGTGTGTGTGTGTGTGTGTTTGCGTGCCAGCATGCAGATGCAGATACCTGCTGTGAAAACTGGAAGTGTGAGATAAACTGGAGCTAGTTAAAAGGCAGCTGTGAGCTCCCTGACATGGGTGCTGGCAACTGAACCCTGGTCCTCTGCTCTCAAAAACTCGTAAGGTCCTTTGCCTCAAAACCTTTGGTTCAGCGTCCAGAAAAAGAAAAACCGCCACAATAACTGTAAGATCTAAGTCTGCAGGCTATAGAAAAGAATCATCTTCCACGTGCCCATTCTATATATGTGCTCTTGATTGTTCTTTTTACTGTTCTCTATTCTAATTCTTCTGATGCCTACAATTTCTTAACTCTAATTTTCTGTCTCTCTTCTTCTGTTTATTTCCCTCCTTACTAACTTCTCTACATTCTTATCCTTTTACATTTCTGTTCTTTCTTCCAGCTTCGTCCTCCATCTCCTAAGTCTCTAGTCTCCTCTCTTCAAACCACTCTTGTTCATCTCTCATTTGGCCGTGCTGCAAGTTTTCCAGCTACTACACATTTACAATCAGCATTTCTCTGGCTCTAGCCAGGTGCAAGGCTAGAGTTTTTCAGGGTCATAGAAACAGATAAAAGTTTTTCACAGCCAGGCGTTGGTGGAACATGAATTTAATCCCAGCACTGGGGAGGCAGAGGCAGGTGGATCTCTGTGAGTTCGAGGCCAGCCTGGTCTCCAGAGCGAGTGCCAGAATAGGCTCCAAAGCTACACAGAGAAACCCTATCTTGAAAAAACAAACAAACAAACAAAAAAGGTTTTCACAAAGCAGTAACTGTCAGCCTTTCTCTATGGCTCAAGGTGGGTGTGGTTTAAGCTTCCAAGAAATTAAAGGGAAAGGAGGTTGATTAAAGCAGGGAGAAAGTAAGTCATTAGGGAAATACAGGTGCTTTGTTATTCTCTTAAATGTGACTAGGTAAATAAGATAAAGAATACAATCAGTGAAAATCATGAGCAAGGCAAGAATGATCTTTAAGAAGTTGCTTTAAGGTTAATGTGAGGTTAGCTTGGGACATCATTTCCCTATCTGCTGGCAGAGTGAATCCAGAACATTCTTGTTCTCTGTCTCTCTGAGACCTGTGTCTCAACAACTTCAGATATGCTGTAATTCTTGTCCTTGGGTATCTGTGAATGTCTCAATTGAGGTCTCTTTGCCTGGACACTAATACTGTACAACTGTCTGCCAAGGAAGATAGCTGTTGGGGGTTGGGGTTCGGGGAGAGGGGAGCAGACTTCTAAATTTATACAAGGACTTGTTTGAGAAAGTAAGGGTTGAGTGTGATTACTTTCTTGCCAGAATCACGCATTACTAGGGAAAGTCATCCAATATACCAGTGCATAGGGGCAAATGTGCCCAGTAATTGATTAATACACTACTGGAGTTTTTGTTTTGTTTTTTTAGATGAATCCCACCATGGTTTCACAGGGAATGTACAGTAAGGACAGTCATTATTAATGAAGCAAATACTCCCACCCACCGCCCTGTGTGTGGGCCTCCTTCATTGGAAAATGATCCTGATGGGTTAGCCACAGGATTTACCAGCTGCGCTCTCACTGCATAATTGTGTGGTCTGTAGCACTCTGCAAGAACAGTACACGCTCCTCACTACATAACTCTCTCTCCACCCCTCACTGACCCCCACTTTTTGTCATCTGCAGAATTAAGTTGAATAGCATAAATAAGTTTAAACACAGACAAGAGATTTCTAAGCATAAAATTAAGGAAATAATGCAAATATAATTACTGCATTTGTATAAATGTGTATATACACAATTCTTCAAGTATGTACATGTAGACCAGGCTTCTGTGAAACAAAGTGAATATGAACATGATTAGAAATTCCTTGACTGCCATTATTTAAATTATTTTTTCCATGTTCTAGGAGTCTATGAACTTGTTACTTTTCTTATGAAACCTGGTGGCCCAGCTCTATGGGGTGATGCATTTGAAAGAGCAGTAAATGCCCATGAGAATCAAGACTATGCTACACTGATTGGTGTGTTCCATACAGAATATGGAACACTCAACAGAGGTACAGATGTCCATTTCTTTAAAAATTTCTGTGGTATATCAGTGACCTATTAATGTGTTAGGATCCTTTGGTTAAAGTTCATATATTATTGACAAGTCCTTATACTTTTATCATTTTAAAGAATTGATAAGTTGTCTCTTTCTTATTTAGAATTTAACGCCTACCAAAATTTTGAAATGCTAAACTTCTGTTTTCTGAAACATAAAATAAGCAACTCTTAACAACCATAAGAACCTCAAGAAATAGTGTATCTCTTTTATAATCTTTTTATTCCTTTAAATATATTATTATAAGTACTAGGGATTGAACCTAGGACCTTATGCATGCTAGACAAGTGTTCCATCACTAAACTATATCCCCTGTCCTGATTAGGTATCTATTGCTGTGGTAAAATACCATGACCAAAACCAACTTGAGGAGAGAAGGGTTTATTTAAGCTTACACTCCCAGTTAATAGTCCACCATGAAAAAAAGTCAGGGCAGGAACTGAAGCAAGAGCCAGGGAAGAATGTTGTTTACTGGATTGCTCTCCCTGCTTTTTTCTATGACCCAGGTATATATTCCCAGGCCAGCAGTGACACCATCCCCAGTAGGCTGGTCTTTTCCACACCAATCATTAATCAAGAAAATGCTCCACAGGCTTGCCTCAGTCTATCTGATGCAGCACATTTTCTCAACTGAGGCTCTCTTTCTCAGATGTCTCAAGCTTTGTGTCAAGGTAACAGAAGCCTAACACAATTGACCCATTGTTGTCTTGACGTACAAACACATCATGATTAAATCATAAGCTTTCGTTTCTTGTTTGTCCCCAAGATTTCATGTTAATATTATCACAGTATAAAACTGAGTACAACTTTAAAAGTCATACCATCTTTAAAAGTTTAATCTCTTTAAAATATCCAAAGTCTCTTAAATGCGGGCCCTTGTAAAATCGGATTCCAAGATGAAAGAACCAGAGCACAGTACTAAGTTCAAAGCAAACCCAGAATTCAACAGCATAAAAAGTTTAGTGCCTGACATTTGGAACCTATTCATGAGTCGATCATCTGGGCTTCAGAGAGTCATGGATGCCCCACTCTTCTAGTTTTGCCAACCTCAGGACACACAGCCTGCTCTGCTCTACAGCTGCCACTGACCTCAGCAGTCATCCCACTATCCTGACAACTCAAAGATGCTGCAGCCTTTGCTACAACTGAGGCTGAATTCTCACCAGTGACCTTCCCTGGACTTTCTTCAGGGTCTCCAGAACTCATGGTACACAGTGCCAAGTCTCAGCTGCTCTCCATGACCACTGTATGCTTTCAAAACCAGTACCACCAAGGTGACCCTTAAACATTCATTACCAAGTTCAGCTGCCAATATGAGATGCAAAAATAAAATAAAATAAAATAAAATAAAGTAGAAAGTCATACAGTCTGGGTCTTGAGTTCCTTTAGCAATCTTACTGTCCATCCCTTTTCAAGCCTACTTCATTTCTTCATCTATAAATCCAATCCAATTAGTTAATCTATAATTTTCTTCTGACTCTTCTGAAATGTTATTACTGAAATATTTAGTATCACACTTTTATCTTATTTTTAACATCTCTGTATTTGTATGTAAATGCCTTTTTTGATTCACTTTTGCAGTTCATGTTCTCTGGTGGATGGAGAATGCAGACGTTCGCGCAGCTGGGAGACATCGGTCTCATGACGACTCCAGGGTCGTGTCTACTGGTGAGCTGTGTAAACTGGTGGGCATGAATTATTTTTAAAACACATTTGGTTCAGCTTATAACTTTATATGTCTCATGTAATCTCTTTCCAGTTCGGGAAAGTGTCAACTACCTCGATATTCAGCAGAACATGCTCCTAATTCCTGAGCCGTTTTCACCATTGAAATAGTTTCCTACCAACTGTTTCAGTAACATGTCAGCAGATGGTGCTTCAGTTCTCTCAAGAAAATTATCCCTACTCTTTATTCAAAGGAAGTGGTAAGTTAACTCTGCCCTTTTATTTTTTAAGCTCATCTAGGTCTCTTATTAAACCCACCTCCACATGGGAAATAGAATTCATTTTCTCCATGCCACTTCATTATCCATCATACATTAAAAATAATTAATTCAAAAATAATGTTATTTAGTCCCAGTAAAATCTTTGAAGACTCTTTTGTTTATAAGCTGAAGTGCCTTACTATTAATTTTACTAATGTTTACTTAATTCAGATGCTTTCTAACAAAGACACTTGATCACTATATCAAGACCTTTGTTTTCCATTTGTTTCAGAATAGCTCTTCGGGAGGACAAGCCTTTGTTCAAATAAGATCACATTCCCAAGCTTATGACCGGATTTTTAAATTATTAATAAATATGTGAAACTTTTTAATCTTGTCTTTTTTACCTGAGGTGTTTTGCTCCTATAGATTATTTGATAACAGAAAATGGGGTTCATGAAAATATTAAACTTCTCTCATATGAAAAACTGTATAATCATCTATGTTGTCTGTATTGACATTCACTCACTTAGAAAATAACAGATGAGCATACTAAAAGTTTTGATGACTCCAGTTTATATCCTAAAATGTTATTTATAATTAATTTAATATTTATTTCATTTTTTATCTTATCTAACAAAATGCTTGAGATATCTTTATTTAAATGAGGTCATTATAGACATGAAAACATTTGCGGTAATTAAAAAGATACCGTCACTCTGGGAAATCCCACCCCGGGGTCTGCAGATGAAAGGAATTGGTCCCTGAGGATGCAGGGACCCTGACTGCTGAGATCACTGAGATATTCCAGCCCCTACAGAGTGCAGAGGTGAGCTACTTCAGCCCCTGCCTTGGGCCCAACTTCTGACTGTCCACTCTTGGAAATCCTGCCCCAGGGTGTGCAGGCAGACTAAATCGATCCCTGAAGACCCAGGGACCCTGCCTCTGCTGAGATCACTGGGCTACTCCACCCCCAGGCAGTGCAGAATGCAGAGAGTGCAGAGGTGAGCTGCTTTGATCCCTTACTTAGGCCCAACTTCTGCCTGCCCACTCTGGGAACTCCTGTGCAAGCAGGTAGACTCCGCCCCTGAGGACCAAGAAACCCAGAGTCTGCTGACATTTCTGCACCAGTCCTGCCCATGCCCACCTGTAGAGCAAGTGCCTCAGACTTTCCTGCACCCACCTTGAGACCGATCAGAGTATCAGAGCCAGTTGCACCCACCTAAAGAGAACCCCGGACCCATACACACCAGGAAAGAAAGTGATACCACCTGCACCCACTAGAAGAAGAGATGGGAAGACAAAAATATAAGAACACATCCAACAACAGGAAAACCAATATGAAACCACCAGAGCCTAGGGACGCTACACCAGCAAGACATGAACATCCCAACACAGATGAAGCAGAAGAGATCAACCTTAAAAACAACTTCATGCAGATGATAGAGACCCTAAGAGAGGAAATCAGAAAATCCTTCAGAGAAATGGAAGAAAAGACAAATCAAAAGATCCAGGAAATCAAGGAAAGACAAGAAAATACAATTAAACAGCTGAAGGAAACAGTTAAGGACCTGAAAACTGAAATAGAGACAATAAAGAAAACACAAACTGAAGGAATGCAGGAAGTAGAAAAGCTGAGTAAACAATCAGGAACCACAGATGCAAGCTTAACCAACAGAATACAAGAGATGGAATACAGAATCTCAGACACTGAAGATAAATTAGAGGAAATAAATTCATCAAGCAAAGAAAATCTTAAGTCCAACAAATCCAAAACACAAAATATCCAGGAAATATGGGACACCGTGAAAAGACCAAACCTAAGGATAATAGGTATAGAAGAAGCTGAAGAAACCCAACTCAAAGGTACAGAAAACGTATTCAGCAAAATCATAGAAGAAGACTTTCCCAAACTAAAGAAAGACATGCCAATGAAAATCCAAGAAGCCTACAGAACACCAAATAGAGTGGGCCACAAAAGAAAGTCCCCTCGTCACATAATAATTAAAATACCAAATGTACAGTATAACAAAAAAATATTAAGAGAAGCAAAGGAAAAAGGCCAAGTAACATATAAAGGCAAACCTATCAGAATTACACTGGACTTCTCCATGGAAACTCTGAAAGCCAGAAGGACCTGGAAAGATACTATACCAACTCTGAGAGAACACGGATGTCAGCCCAGACGACTATACCCAGCAAAGCTTTCTATCACTATAGATGGAGAAAACAAGATATTCTATGACAAAAACAGATTCAAGCAATAAGTAACCACTAATCCAGGCCTACAGAAAGTACTGGAAGGAAAACTCCAACCTAAGGAAGCTAACTATACTCACAAAAACATACACAATAGATAATTTCACTTTACCAAAAGTCATAAAAAGAAAAGCTGGATAAATCCACACACAATACCACTACCCAAAACAAATACAAACAAGAATAAGCACTCAATGGTCCTTAATTTCCCTCAATATTAATGGTCTTAACTCACCTATAAAAAGACACAGGCTAACAGAATGGATACAAAGACAAAATGCATCCTGCTGCTGCATACAAGAAACACACCTCAACTTCAAAGGCAGACATTACCTCAGAGTAAAGGGTTGGGATAAGTATATTCCAATCAAATGGACTCAAGTAACAAGCTGAGATAGCAATTCTAGTATGTAACAAATTAGGCTTTAAACTAAAATCAATCAAAAGAGATGAAGAAGGTCATTTCATATTCATCATAGGAAAAATCCATCAGGAAGAAGTCTCAATTCTATGCCCCAAATACAAAGGCACCAACATTCATAAAAGAAACATTATTAAAACTCAAATCACAAATAAGACATCACACAGTTATAGTGGGAGACTTCAACACTATCACCTCTGGACAGGACCACCAGACAGAAACTTAACAGAGAGACAAAGGAACCAACAGAAGTTATGACCCAATTGGGATTAACAAACATCTATAGAATTTTCCATCCAAACACAAAAGAACATACCTTCTTTTCAGCATCACATGGAACCTTCTCAAAAATCGACCACATACTTGGCAACATAGAAAACCTCAACAGGTACAAAAAAATTGGAATAATCCCCTGTGTCTTATCAGACCATCATGCTTTAAAGTTAGAATTCAAAAACAACACAAATTGCAGAAAACCTACCAACTCATGGAAATTGAACAACATGCAATTGTGCCATTCCTGAGTCAAGGAAGAAATAAAGAAATTAAAGACTTCTAAAATTCAATGAAAATGAAGACACAACATACCCAAACTTATGGGACACTTTGAAAGCAGTACCAAAAGGAAAGTTCATAGCTCTAAGTGTTCACATAAAGAAACTAGAGAATAGTCGCATCAGAGAGTTGACATCACAGCTGAAAGCTCTAGAACAAATGGAAGCAAATTCACCCCAGAGGAGTATATGCCAAGAAATAATCAAACTGAGGACAGAAATCAATAAAGTCAAAACAAAGAAAACAATTCAAAGAATCAATGTAACAAAGAGTTGGTTCTTCGAGAAAATCAACAAGATAGACAAACCTTTATCCAAAGTAACCAAAAGGCAGAGAGAGAACATGCAAATTAATAAAATCAGGAATGAAAAGGGGGACATAACAACGGGACAATGAGAAAATCCAGAGAATCTTCAGGTCATACTTTGAAAACCTGTATTCCACAAAATTTGAAAATTTAAAGGAAATGGACAATTTTCTGGACAGATATAACTTACCAAAATTGAATGAAGAACAGATAAGCAACTTAAACAGACCTATAAATTCTAAGGAAATAGAAGCAGTCATCAAAAGCCTCCCAACCAAAAAAAGCCCAGGGCCAGATGGCTTCACTGCAGAATTCTACCAGAAATTCAAAGAAGAGCTAATACCAATACTCCTCAAATTGTTCCACACATTAGAAGCAGAAGGGTCATTGCCAAACTCTTTTTACGAGGCTACAATTACCTTGGTACCCAAGCCACACCAAGGCACAACTAAGAAAGAGAACTACAGACTAATATCCCTCATGAACATAGATGCAAAAATATGCAGTAAAATATTGGGAAACCGAATCTAAGAACATATCAGAAAAATCATCCACCATAATCAAGTAGGCTTCATCCCCATGATGCAGGGTTGGTTCAACATTCGAAAATCTGTCAGTGTAATCTACCATGTAAACCAACTGAAGTAGAAAAACCACATGATCATCTCACTAAATGCTGAAAAAGCCTTTGACAAAATCCAAAATCATGATAAAGGTCCTGGAGAGATCAGAAACATACCTGAACATAATAAAAACAATATACAGTAAGCCAACAGGCAACATCAAAATAAATGAAGATAAACTCAAAGCTATTCCTCTAAAATCGGCAACAAGACAAGGCTGTCCACTCTCTCCATATCTCTTCAATATTGTCCTTGAAGTTGTAGCTAGAGCAATAAGACAACAAAAGGAGATAAAGGGGATACAAATTGGAAAGGAAGGAGTCAAGCTTTCGCTGTTTGCAGATGATATGATAGTCTACATGAATGACCTGAAACACTCTACCAGGGAACTCCTGCAGCTGATAAACACCTTCAGCAAAGTGGCAGGATACATGATTAACTCAAAAAAATCTGTTAGCCCTACTATATACAGATGACACTTTGGTGGAGAAAGAAATCAGAGAAACGTCACTCTTTACAATTGCTACAAACAACATAAAATACCTTGGGGTAACGCTAACCAAAACAGTGAAAGACTTGTTTCATAAGAATTTTAAGTCTTTAAAGAAAGAAATTAAAGAAGATACCAGAAAATGGAAGGATCTCCCATGTCCTTGGATAGGTAGGATCAACATAATAAAAATGGCAATCTTGCCAAAAGCAATCTACAGATTCAATGCAATCCCCATCAAAATCCCAACACAATT